AACGTTTATTATCTTCGTTATCACTCATAAATATTACTATATGTGAGAAAGAAAGGACAGAGGAGAGGAAAAAAAAATTAAAAGATAGAGTTCTTTTCTATTTTCTTAATATTGAATTATTTTAGGCTTTAGGTCCCAAAATAAAAAAAAATGTATACAAGGAAATTAATTTTACTAGTTTTATTATAAATTTATTTTACACGCCTTACAGCGATTTTTTGAATTGCAAAATATTATTTAAACTAGATGTAGGACGGTTCGCTAAGGCTTCTGGGAATGGAGGGGCTTCAGGCTTAATAATTTTCTTTATTTTCAGATTTTCTATTGCGCGTAAAGATTTTTGTATAATTTTGTAAACCTCGGGGTTTACTTCTGTACCATCCTTCAGTATTTTAAGTTTCTCGTCACTTTTTGCAATTTTAATAACAGCGTCTTTAATATTATGCTTGTTTTCCAATCTTTGATTTTCGCAAAACGGTATTTTGTATTCCCTCCTAAATGTTCGTTGACAACGAACACACTTTTCCGGGATAACAAAATGTCGACATAAACATCTTCGAAATTGTGTGAACTTTTCTTCTAATGTTGTAGGCAAGTTACTTGATGAAGGTGCAGGTTGTTTGGGTGGATCCTGTACCTTGTCTTTTGGTGTTGACCAAATCTCTATCGGACGAGCTAATTCTATTTTATTCTGCCTAAATATCTCTCTTAATCCATTTTCATACTCGTCCTTTGGCAATCCTACCCACAGAGCATGAATTAATTCACTGAATTAATTCTTGAATTAACGCAAAGAATTAATATAAAAATAATTTTCTAAGAAAAGAAAATTATTTCTTAATTAATACATGAAATATTACAAAGAAATATTCTAAAATTCTATTAAAAATAATTCAGGTAATGATTCCTGTAAAAATAAACAAATTAATACATGAATTAATTTAGAAAGGATTTTGAAAGGAACCATGAATTAATTTACAACATAAAACTAAAATTATATCTTGAAATAATTTAAAACTATTTCAAAATTATTTCGTGATATGATTTTTGTAAAAATACATAAATTAAATCATTCATTAATGTTGAATTAATCCAAGAAATATTATAGGTTTTAATCTCGAAATTAACGCAACAAATGATTCTGGATTCATTTAAAATTAATTCTTAAATTATATGAAAATGCAAAATTTCGATTCACCCGAATTATTTCAGAAAATAATTCAAAATTATTTCTGAATTAATTCGTGATATGATTTTTGTACAAATATACACATTAATTCACGGATTAATGTTGAATTAGTCCAAGAAAAATTATAGGTTTAAAGTTACAAATTAACGCAAGATATATTTATAAATTAATTATTTTGTTACGAGTGCATCTTTCGAATAGTTCTTATTCGAATATGTATCCGCTGCAACATTAATTTGTATATGTTGTTTGTTTATGTTTGTAATAGAAAACACAGAATAGTTAGTTAACACTTGGTTATCTGTTTGTAAACACTTTTTAAAATTAATAAAGTAAAGTCTAAGTCTTTAAGTTTAAACGTAACAATACATTAATTCTTGCATTATATTAAAATGGAAAATTTTGATTTACCTGAATTATTTCAGAAATTAATATAAAATTATTTCTGAATTAATTCGTGATATGATTTTTGTAAAAATGCACTAATTAATTTACGAATTAACGTACCGATAATCAAAGAAATATTATAGGTTTTAATTTCGAAATTAACGGAAGGAATGATTCTGAATTAATTCTGAATTAATTTTTGAATTAAATGAAAATGCAAAATTTCGATTCACCCGAATTATTTCAGAAAATAATTCAAAATTATTTCTGAATTAATTTTTGATATGATTTTTGTAAAAATGCACTAATTAATTTACAAATTAACGTACCAATAATCCAAGAAATATTATAGGTTTTAATCTCGTAAAAAAGCTTTTGTACGCATTACTGAGCATATGAAACGTTCATGAAAGTACCTACCTTACCGGCATTTACAGAACTTGAAATATTGCAGAATCAAAGTTAGATTAAAAACAAAAACTTTTTTTAGGGTGTAGATATATGTCCAAGAATTACTCAGTTCAAATTTCACACAATTCTATAGAGTGGTTCTTTCAAAATTTGATCAAGCAGCACCAAATCTTAATTTCTTCGAGGTGTTATCAGGGGCGTTTCATATCTCCTTAAGGGAATTTTAATTCAGGATTATTTAAACCCCTAGCATTGCGTTAAGCACTTCCATTTTTTATTATTATTCGTTAAAATTGAAAGAAATTCAATGTGAAAATTCGATAAGAAATCTGCTTTATGTAATATTTATAATGTATATCTAATATATATCCATTGTGACGGTAAACGTCAAATTAGCGCTAATAATATAACCTAATTGCTGCCTGCGGAGGCAGCACCTACCGGGGAGACGAAAAACGTAACGAAAGAATTCGGCACGCGAGCAGACGGAACGCGCGCGATTGAAATTGAACCAGTGAAGCTTTGACCATCAACGAGTTCGCCGGTGTGTACGAGACCAGCTGTCACTTCCCGAGTTATCGGAGCAGAATTCCGTTCGTAGAGCACCAAGACCTGAGTTCCAGAGATCGTCGCAGCCGAGGTGCCGTGCAGCTCACAAGGGCGAAGGCTTGAACCAGCAGACAAAGGCGCCGTGCGCGGTGATAACGCTAGTGCGTGCGTGAGATTTCGCCATCGAGGGCGAAGCCACGTGCTTTTAAGTTCGCGACTCGCGACACAAACAAACAATAGACCTTTTCCGAGTGCGACTTATTGGTGTCATCTTCGAGCGTCCGCAAAACAAAGGTAAGCTGGCCAGCTTAATCTTGCGATCGTGGTTGCATGTATAACAATTAATTTCTCGTGTTCGAAGCGTGCATGCAATAGCTCTGTTAACAAAGAGCAGCGAGCGTCCCGACACTGTGTGTTCTCGATGAGCGAGCGCTGATGTCAACATAAACTCGCGGGCCGATCCAGTGTAATATTTGATAGACAATAAAAGATTCTGTTCGTGTTATTAACAAGTGCTTTCGACTCGCTTATTCCATATTGCTTCCACTCATTTTCTTAGATTAGTAGATCTATTGGTTGACTGACACCTGTTTCCCCATGCTCTCCGGATTATGTATTAAGCATAGATGATTACATTCGCCCTTCAAGAAACTCGCGCGAATAAAAATAATTAAACGGTAAGAAACCCCGTTACACCATATACTAGATAATATTAAAGTAAACATTAAATAAAGTACTGTACGTTTATCAATTATTTTATTTCGTGTTCTTCCATAATTATATAAAATATAGCACTTTTAATAATTTTTCAAATTTTACTTATATATTCAGTAAATAATTTATTTATAGTATATCTAGTTGTGTTATATAATTTTAAATATTTTTTATAATAATTCTAAAAGTAATTAGATAGTATTTTATAAAATAATTCTTGTGAAATGGATATAATCTTTTAAAATTATTTCAGTGAATCAATTCTGTATTAATTTTACGCCAGCTTTTTATTACTTAAGTATCATTTTGAAAATTAATTTTGAAACAATTCAAAACATTCTTACTGTAATGATTTCAAAATTATTATGATAATATTTCATAAAATAATTCTTCTAAAATGCATGTAATATTTGAAAATTATTTCAGTGAATCAATTCTGTATTAATTTTATGTCCGCTGTTTATTTCTTCAATATTAATTTTAAACATTAATTTTGAAACAATTCAAAATATTCTAACTGTAATAATTTTAAAACTATTACGTTAATATTTAAATTAAATCAGTAATTTTCTGACTAATAAATTTGTATTCTTATTAAAAAAAAAAATTTTATTTCTTTACTATATTTTATTCTTCACAGATTTCAAATTCAACAAACTACTTTAAGTAGCATCTATTTTTAATTTTTTTTTTCTAACTGATCACTGATATAATTCAAGAAAGGAAAGCCTTAACAGTTTTCTTGCAACAATTTTATCCCTCCGGGGCCTCCAAAATTTGTATGTGACGTCGGGGTCACTCTCAGGTACGCTTCGAGTAAGCGTAAACTCAGGGTTGCTCTGATTTGGCTATCGTGTAACACATAAGCCGGGACGAGCAATATTGTTGCGTTGAGAAAACTGTATGCTAGCGCGGAATGTAATAACCAAATGTTATTACGAAACACACCAGACTCACGCTTAATGTGTTCTTAAGGAACTTTAATGGAAATTCACCAGACTCACGCTTAATGAATTTCCAAAAAAACGGATTGCTTAAAGAAAGAAAAGGATAGCCAGATATAAGGTTTTACTTACTTTTATTTTATTTAATTATTTGTTATTATGGCTGCGCTATCTCTGCTCTTTGACCTTTTTCTCTCTCTTTCTCTCTATTCTGGATGTAGTTGGGTGACTTCTTGATTGAATTTTTAACTTGGGCCCTTTTCTCCAGAGATAGCTCTTGGAGTGCCACTTTTAAGAGCAAGAGTAACGCTATAGTTTATAATTACTTCTACAAAATCGTACTAAACTTAGTTAATTTTAACGATACATAGAGATTATTACAATAACTTAATTACTAAAAAAATCCAAACCTTCTATGATTTATTATAAAATACATTATTGTACTAATATAAAATTATTTATTGGTTATTTGGTGACTAAAAAGATGAGCATTATAATAACTTACAAAAATCATGAAAATCTATTTAATATTACGGATATTTTCTTAAAATTCGGTGGGAAAAAAAAAAGATAAATTGCTTTTTATGAGCCCCTTCCATTATCAGCGCGATAACGCTTCACGATGTATACACGATAATCGTAGGCTCCTGTCAACACATGCGCGTGAGACAAATCAGGATAGAGCGTTGATTGTAAGGCTGAGTACGCAGGCTCGGGCCACTATCAAAGTTTAAACATTTTATTTCGAACGCGTTTTCATCGTGGGAAATCAGGAAGGTTCCCACTCCGTTCGTCATATTTAATAATTGAATTGACCAAAAAAAAACTAAGTTACGGCTAGCCGTCACATCGATATACTTTATTTATACTTTATCATCCGAGTAATTAGCTGTTTTTGTGGATGTAGGAATTTAATAACACACGTTAACTTAGAACTTTGTATATTAACTTGTTTTATTAAATTTTAAAGGGTAAAAGTTACAATATAATTATTTTTAGTTAGTACAATTTAAGAAAAGTTGAAAATATATTTTTTTCTTAAAAAATAAGTGATTTTCCTGTAAAATGTATCAATTATAATTTCATCAAATATATCAATTATAATTTCACCAAAATCATTGTATTCAAATTCTACAGGGGTACTAATTAATTTTGTGTATTATTTTATGATATAAATTAAGAAGTCATTTATAATTTTTTTTCTTTCATAATCGCACATTTTTTTGTTGGAAGATAGAGTTTCCGCCGTGCATGCTCAGTAATACGTTAATTTCAATTGTGAAATTAACTTATGAAATTCTATTCTTTCTCTATTTTTAGGGGGGTGGGTCCAAATTCTAGAAAAACAGTTTTTGGGTGGAACAAATTATAATGGAACTAGTGGTATTTTTTTTTAATATCAATCATTTTTCTGCCAGGAGTATAAGTTTTCCGAGATATCGTTCTTTTGGCTTTTTTTCGAAATTTATATGGATATGAATTCCTAAAAGGCAGTTTTTGGGCGGTATAAATTAAGATGAAGCAAATGGTGTATATTTTTTTTCTGAGGAAATCATTCATTTTTTGGCCAGGGTCATCTCGACATGCTCATTTCAGTAAAGTCTATAGAAGCAAACAGCCCACCCCTCCCTCTAACATGCAATATTATAATCATGACTAATTAATAAATCAGGAGTCGAAACACAAAACATTAGTGTAGAAAAATTACTCGTGATTTTTACTAACGTATGCAACTATTAATTTATATAAATATAACGTTTTTACACCGCGCAGAAACGTTTTATCAAGAGCTAGGAGTTAGCAAATTTACAATTTTTTTTGTTAATTAAAATGAAATTGCTCGGAGTCAATAAATAGTTTTCTTATCCTTGTTAATCACGAGCAATTTTTCAATAATTTTTTCGAAACGATTTTCAAAAATTTTCCGCTGAGTTTCTTTACCTCAGTTAAAGAGCTGTACTGATAGAAATGGCTTATATTATATCTAACCTTGCTTACCCCAGCCAGCAAAGTGTAATGGACAGTGAAAAAAAAATACCATTCGAAATATCTCTAATTGAACTCTCCAAAAATGCTCATTATTTTAATTCAAACCCTTCACTTGTCCCACAAAAAATTAAAAACTATGATAATTTTTTCATTTTTTGCAACTGCGATATCTTTAGTAATACTTAATATTTTTGCAAAGAAACAAGGCGAAAATTTGAACCCTTGCTCGATTTAATTGCACTCCTCTTACTTTTTCAAAATTATTAATATATATGTTAAAAACAACAATCTAATTTTATTGTATGTTCTTTCCAAATAACCCAATAAACCATCCATTTGGAAAGAACATATAATAAAATTAGATTGTTGTTTTTGACATATATATTAATAATTTTAAAAAGTAAGGAGTTCAATTAAAATAATGAGCATTTTTGGAGGGTTAAATTAGAGATATTTCGAATGGTATTTTTTTGTTTCACTGTCCATTACACTTTGCTGACTAGGGTAAGGGGGGTTTATATCAAGGAGTAATAGAGAAGGAGACACAACTTATATGGGTGCCGAACCAAAAATTCAGCCAGCTTGAATGAGTAGAATCGTCAGGTCCACTCAATGGAATAATGACCCCCCCCCCCCCCCAGTAGCGTCATATCCATCAAACGAGTGCCGTCTACACCTTGCAGGCAGCCGATTTTATCTACTGATTGCTTCGTGTCTTTATTTTTTAAAATCCAAATTGTACTTAAAACTTGATAATTAAGTAACGCAAGCGATGTATGATAATCTTATCACAATTGCTAAGAACTGTAATAAGTTCAAACACACTAATGTAAGCTTAAACACAAACTCCCCAGGATCCAACAGTTTAAATATTCCTTTCATACAGTATAGAGTGATGTTGACGCGATAGTCGAAATGGTACCATTACTACTTCGAATCAGTAAGGATATTGGTTCGAAACTCGTCAACCATTGTTTTTTTTTTCTTCGATCATTTTTTAAACATTGTTCTTGATTCTATTAATTAATGTATATATTAAAATATGTTTCATGGTTATTTGTTTTTTTGCAATCTCGAATCGGATTAATTATATCAGTCATCGACCGACCTTTTACCGAATATCATAAATAATAATCACTGATTTAATTAAATCTAGCACGTGTCAATTGTGTATTAATACCGCTTATGAGACATAATAACCAAATGTCAAGTTCAAAAAAAAAAAAAAAACGACTAAGAAAATGAGTCTTTTATATGATAGAAATGCTTCATTTGAATGCAATCGTTGAAGCTTTCACTTATCCAGCAATAAATTAATATTTTATTGTTGGAGACGTTTTATTATTCGAGTGATCGAGATCAGTAATTTTTTAAACTAAAATTATCGAGATACTTTGATAAATGTATATTTGAAATTACGTTTGGAAAATAATGTTTTTTTTTATTTGAAAAGAAACAAAATAAATTTTGATAGTACATGAAATAAAGAACAAAAACTTTACTTGTGATTGAATTATTCCTAAATATGTAGTACACATTTTATTTTTATATAAATGAAAAGGAATAAAAATTTTATTGCACATTGTTTATCTATATCATATGTAAAAAAGTTGACGAGTTTCGAACAAACATCTTTGCTAATTCGAAGCAGTAATGGTACCATTTCGGCTATCGTGTCGACATCACTGTATAATGTATAAAAGGAATATTCAAGCTGGTAGACCCTGGAAAGCTTGTGTTTAGGCATACGTATGTGTATTTGGACTTATTACAGTGCTTAGCAAATGTGATGAGATTATCATATATTACTCGTATATCGCTTTCGGCACTCAATAATCAAGTTGTAAATACAACTTGGAGTCATAAAAAGTAGACACCGAGTAATCAGTAGATAAAATCGGCTGCCTGCAGGGTACGGACAGTGCTCGCTAGATAGATCTGATGCTACTTAAGGGTGGCTATTTCATCAAGTGAACTTGGCGATTTTGCTCGTTTAAGCTAGTTCATTTCCTATACATGGAGTTGTGTTTCCTTCTCTATTACTCCCTGGCTTATATTTTCATCAACCAATAATTTTAACTACCCCCAGATCAGCCCCACAAAATAGTTAAAATTAAAATAAAATAATTTTCAATAGTGTCAAAATTGCTCGGTTTGCTATTTTGGCCAAATAATTTGCTTGCATTACATTTTTCAACCAAAAAATATCAAAGTGGTTTTCTTACGCAAACTTTAAACGATAATATCTTGCCGAAATATCAATATTTGTTCGATCCTAAATTCTTCAAAAGTTGCTTACTATCGGAAGAAATTTTCCCCGTTATAAATTTGAAAAGTACATTATTTTTTATAAAGAAATTTAAATAATGTATTTCGTATCGTAAGCAATTTAAACAATCGTCTTGCGCATGCGTTAACTTATGGAGTTGACTGTGACTGCTCATTAATATACGTATATTATTTAAATTTTTTTATAAAAAATAATCTACTTTACAAATATATTATAACAGAGCAAATTTCTTATAATAGCGAGCAATTTTGAAGATCTTAGAATTAAACACATATTGATATTTCGGCAAAACATTATCGTTTAAAGTTGGCGTAAAAAAGAAATACTTTCATATTTTTTTTTTTTCAAAAATCTGAAAAACCTGACGTGATGGAACAATTTTAAGGCCAGATTTGGATTTAGTACACCAAAATCCTTGAAGAATACTAAAGCTCGCTTATGATACAAAAAATGACCTATTATTGGTATACTAGTGAATTGGTTTTCTTATTTTTACTGCTGACGCACAGTTATTCTATAATTTCCCGCTGAGTTCCTTCATTCCTTACGCCTACCCCTTTTTATATCAGGAACTAAAAACTGATAATGTGGATACGTACTAGTTTGTCCAATGCTTTTTTTCATTAACATTCATACAATTTCAATGTCGTAATTACAATCAAACATTCAACAACAGTTTTTTTAGTTTTTATCTTCAATAATAGAAATATTTATTTAGTAATTAATTTCATAAGTTGGATTGATCAAAACTGAGATTGTTCATTTTGTCAAAAAGAACTGTCAACACAAACATTTACATTAAATAAAAATTCTGGTTTTAGAAGTATGTAATAAAAAATGGATGTCTTAACACATTATGGCGGCTAGTTCAGGATATCGGACATTGTTGCGTTTACGTTCTTTGAGACGTAGTCATATATTTGATAAAACATTATTTTTCTCTTTTCTCACTTAAAATTACTTATTTTAATCGGGTACCTGTCCCGCTTTTAAACGGTAATGTGCGGAACGAGTTCTAGAACCTTCCCCGCTTATAAGTGGCAATCCTCGCAACGGGTACAAATAACTGCTCCGCTCATAATGTGTTAATTAATATAAAAATTATTTTGTTGCTTTGAAAAGTAATAGAACTGTTTCTTGTTTCATTCTGTACTACACTTTCCGATTTGTCGTATAATACGCTCAAAAGCACATTCACTCAGAAATTAATATCACAAAAGATTATAATGTTCAATTTGCTTTGGAAAAAGAAATCTTATAAAAAATATTACTTATTATTTACTTTACAGTCTAATATGGTTATTTATAAAAAAACTGCACGAGTTTTAGGCAACTTGAATGTAGCTATACTAGCAATAATCAAGGTTGTTGCAGTTAACAATGCAGGGGCTATTACAGACGTACCAACAAGTGTTTGGTAAGTTGCTGTTCCTATCAACCCTGACATTCGAATACTAGCTGTCATCAAACCAAATCCAGTACATCTGTAATAAGATCTATATATTAGAATATTGTCAATAAAGAAAAACGTATCGCTATAATATAACAAATTAGATAATATATCCCTTGTATATAAAATATTAAATCTGCATTTATTTATACCTTAAATGTGTAGGATAATACTCAACAGTGATCAAAGTCAAAGCTGTCCAAGCAACAGTAAATATTGCAATAAAACTGCCTTCAAAGCCAAGAATGATAGTGCTATTTGTACTGACCAACAGTAAACAGATTGCAGTCACAGAAGAGAAAAATAATGATGCACCTATAATAACCGAATACATTATATGATTAACCAATTATTTTGTATATTTTTATTGCTTTTTCGATTTTTATAAGAGTTATTTTTTATATATATCTAAGAGCAAATACTTGCGTTGTATGCATGACATATTTTTTCGGTAACAACTTCAAGGGAAATTGTATTTTAAATAAGACAATATTAAACAAAAAAAAAGGAAAAAGCCGACCTCAAAATTTATGGATGTTCTGCAACTATTTTGCAAAATTATGCTTTGATTAAGTCAATAATGAAATGAGACCACATCGGTGGCATAGCCTTTTCAATGAGCCCAACCCATTGAAATCATTTCAACCATTCCAGGTATGTGCATACATAAAAAAAATAGATTAAATACAGAACTCTCTCCTTTTGAAAGTTAATAAACATTTCTTATTTCATAAATAGTATCTTTAAAATATTATTTTCCAAATTGAATCTATTAAATTTCTTGATGTTCTTATGTTAAAGAGAATAACTAACCAATCATTTTTGGCCTTTCAAATATAGTTAATGCTAATCCAGCAATTGCAGCTGCAGGTATAAACACTAATTGAGCTACCAGATGTCCATGTAGTGCTTCCTCAATGTAGATGTTATAATCTAAATCAAGAGTAGGACATGCACCACTTAAACTTAGTTCTGTATTATTCTCTAGCTTACATCTAGTAAAAACTTGTGCAGAAAGATCTGTATCAATAAACCTAATTTAATGGAAAATAAATCATTAAATTTTATTTGTTATGTTATGAAGGATAACATTTAATTTTATTATTTTCTCCTAATCGATAGGAAAAATTATATCATTTTAAAAAAATACTTAACACATTAAAAAACTAGAAAACAAACTTACTTAGAATCAATAATTACACTGTCGGTAAAGTGCGTCCTACTAGATTTTATACTACTAAATTCCACTGAATGAAATGTGCAATTGTCAAAGATTATATGGCTGAATATTATTTTAGAAAATCTGCAACATATCGTAATTCACGTTGTAAGTCTTAAAATTATAGATATAAAATTCAAGTCGACAAAATTGATTCAATTAGTTGCTACATTAACCACAGTTTATTTAACTGAAGAATTATTGTCTAAACTTATATATTCATGTAATATACTTTTTTTGTTAAGACATGATGTTTTGAATTTAATTTGATAATAAATCAAAGTTTCATTTAATAATTTAATTTTTACCTGCAGCTTAGAAATTTTGAATTTTTGTATTGACAATTTTCTAATGACCCACTGAATGTTTTATTGACGTAATTTTGACCAATCAGCTTTTTTGTATGAGCTTTATATTCCATGGATCTTAACAGTTTTAAATATTCAGGACACCACAACATCAATCCATAAAGTCTGTAAAAAGTTGAAATAATATCAAAATTACATCTTAAATAACTTTTTGAGTAAATATAAGAATTTATTTTTGAGAGCACACCCAAATGCTGCAGCTGACCAAATGACTAGAAGAACAACTGTTACTTTGAAGTAGGGTATAGAAAATAATTCAAGAAATGAACTCCCAAACTACAATATGTAAATATACTATTAGCAATATATTAAGCATACTCAATGCTAGTTTTTTAAAGAAAATAGATTAAACATCAATACCATTTCTATAGAATATATAATATCTGCCATAACACTTAAATTATGATTACTGGCTGAAGATGAAGAAGCCAATCCACGAGGTCTTTTATTTGGAAGCTCTAATTCAGAGAGGGGATATTGTGCTTCTACAGCATTTCTTTGTGTATTGTTTTTATTATATATCCTCTAGAACATAATAGGAAGGATTCATTGGCTAGTAATTAAAAAAAAAAATTTAAGGGTAGTGAGCATAAGAGGTAGATATATACCTGATACACCATCATAGCTTCAACGTCATGACCAGCTTCAACAAGATAACGTGGACTCTCTGGTAAAAATATTAGGCCAACAGTAGCACAGAGTGCAGGAATACAGCATAGCAATAAAAAACGATGCCAAGCACTAAAGTGCTCTTTGTTTTCTAATACAACCATCTCACCGGTTGATGGAACTACTGCCCAAGCAAGTAAAACTGCATAAACACCTCCCAAAGCACCAGTTCCAACTAGTAGACCAATCCATTTGCTACGACTAGAGCACGGACAACATTCTGCTAAATATGCATATGATAAAGGTAGTGATCCACCAACCCTGCCAAAAAAGTTTAATTAATTGTTACCTTGATTAAAATGAATATGCAACATTTATACTATCTCAGTTTACAAGCCATTCTCACCCAACTGCTGAGCAAAATCTAGCAGTCATAAAAGTTCCATAAGTAGGCATAAAAGTAGCAACTCCACTGAATAAAGCATGTACAGACATAGCAGATATTAATGATCTTCTTCGCCCTAATCTGTCACCTAATCCTCCCCAGCAAAGTCCTCCAAAAGCAAGACCCATTAGAGTAATATTGCCTTATAAAAATTTGAAGCTTTAAACAATTGATTTACTTTTTTAAGATAAATTAAAAATTATAAATCTACCAAGCCATCCTTTCTCGTTATCTTCGATGCACAATTCAACTTCAGCACTAGGAAGGATATAGGGCACAACAAAAAATTCAACTGTATCTGCAGCAAGGCATATTCCAATGTAAAGTACTGCCAAGGTCTGAAAGTATCCCACTCCAGCCTATATATAAATATTTTTAGTTTTTCATTATTTAAAATAAATCTACAAAATGATAGTATGAATTACATTAAACATTAACGGGAAATTTCATAAGAAATAGTAGAATTTCCTCTCTCTCTTAATTAGTTGAACATATAAACACAAAAAAAAATTAATAAAGATGTCATGGTTAAAAATAAATGTATACAACATAGAACAACAATTATTACCAAATAACAATCTATCAAATACAGATAATTGAAATATTTTATTGAAACTCTATCCTATTAATCTATTAGATAGGCATACTAAGAAAATTCTGCAATTCTTGATAACACCACAAGAGACTAAACTTAGAATAGTGATTGTAAAGGTTTGTTTGAAAGTGCGTTGTTTAGAAATGACCACAAAGTTTGAAAGTGAGATAAAAGTTGAAAACTGCGATTTGGTTATTAATTTCGAAACAGTATTGTAATTATTGTCTATAATAATTAAAGAAAATGGATAAGTTAAAACAGAATGAGAATCCCGAATGCGGAAAACGAACACAAAATATGCACTTGTTTAATGGCTTCTTCGTGAAAATTAACGAGAAGACTAAGGTCATGCGTGACTGCAGCTTCGTGAACGAGTTCTGAAAGTTCGGGTACTGGCTGTTGCTCGGACAATGGTTGTTGATGCTGCATTTCCTCGGAATAGAGGGGCAGCCTACTGCCTGTAAAACGTCGTTGCTGTCGTTGTTGCTTTTGGGTCGAGAAAAAAGCGTCCGTCTCGTTGCCCACCAGACAGACTTTCTTCCTCAGACTCCGATCAGAGATTAGTAGGGAGATTGCTGACGGAAATGCTTCCTAGTGCACCCGACCGAATTTACTGACTCGAACGCCCCGTGGTGATCAGAGCACCGAAGCTGAAGCACAATTCCATTCAGGACGGGAGAGGTCTTAAAAGTTAGCACCCAAAAATTGAAATATTGAACAAATCTATAAATTAATTTCACCATTCAATTAGGCGGTTTTTAATTAATCACATACGTTTGTGCGTCGATTATGCTCATTTTCTTTATGTGAAAAACAGATAAAATTAATTATAGGTGCTTGCGCTAGCACCCAAATTTGATTCTCCAAATATAGTAGTTTATATCGTGAAAATAATTTTTCACAATATACCAATCGTTAGTGCGTCTCACGCATTATTGGTACCCAATATAAAATTATTAAAAAGTTTATCATTTAATTAATTAAAATAAAATAATACTCTTGCGTATTTAAAAAGGTTATTATGACATTGTTTCGCGCATGCGCCTCGAATGGAACATTGTTGCTCATTCGGAGACTCAATGCCATCTATTAAACTGAAGTAAACTAAATTCAACGGTTTACTCGCTCAGTCGGGTTCGATTTGGGGGAATAAGGAGCGCATGTGCCGTAAAAGACGCCATGTGCATCTAAAAAAGATTCGACTAACGAGTTTTTAAAGGGCGTGCCATTGTCTGATAGGAATCTATCAGAGATTCCAAAACGTAAAAAGATGCGATAATTAATCTCTCTCTTGATTATTTTGGCACTGGTCTTGCGGATCAGAATACACTCTATCCATCTCGTGAAGATATCCATGAAGATGAGTAAGTGTTCGTTTCTTTGAGGCGATCTCGGAAAGGGGCCCATCGTATCACCACAGACGATTTCTCATGGACGGGAAACAACGTGTTTTCCCACCAGTCCACCAGGGGCTCATTGTTCGACTTTAATTTGCTGGCACACTTGTCAGTTACGTACAAAGTATGCAGTATCTTTGTAGACACTTGACCAGTAATAACGTAGCACCACCCTCTGGTGAGTTGTGTATCGGCCTAAATAGCCGGCTGTGGGTTCCTCATGACATTACATGAGAACCTACTCGCGCTGTTCTCTTAGAACAATGAGCTTCCAATCGTCGGCATCTCCCATGAGATCGTCGATCATAGGGTCGGGTCGATACAAATACAAACGACCGTCAACAATCTTCCAGTAAGGGTGTGCTTTTGGATCCCGTCCAACCTGCAGAAACTTACGCCGATACCAAGGGTCCTTTATATCTTTAGCAACAGTGAAAGACGCTAGCGAAGCTATTACGTTTTCATCTGTCTCGTCCATACGAGAAAGCGCATCGGGCACGACATTATCCTCGCCCTTGCGATGTACGATGTTGAAATCGTATGCCTGAAAGCGCAAAGACCATCGGCCTAACTTACTATTGGAGCTCCGTAGATTTTGGAGCCACACATAGCTGTGGTGATCAGTCACCACTGTGAAGTGATATCCCTCGATGTATGGCCGGAATTTTTCTATTGACCAAATAACTGCAAGGCATTTACGTTCGGTCACCGATAGTCGGCGTTCTGTAGGCGTGAGAATGCGACTAGCAAAACACAGGACGCGGTCCCCTTCTTCTGTCTTCTGAAGTAAGACACTGCTGAGGCCCGTATCATTGGCATCAACTCAAGAATGAACGGCGCAGAGAAGTCAGGTCTTGCTAAGACAGGGGCTGCAGCAAGAAGTGCTTTTATCTGTGTGAAAGCAGTATAGTGCTCTTCCGTCCATACTTGGTGTCTTTTTTCGTGAGAGACGTAAGAGGCGCAGCCAGTGTAGCAAAATCCTGCAAGAATTTGCGGTACCACGAGTCCATACCAAGAAAACGTCGCAATCGTTGTAGATTTCTGGCGCCGGGTACTCTAAAATTGGTCGCACTCTTTTAGGGTCTGGCCGGCAACCGTCACGATTAACTAACACGCCAAGATAACGAATTTTGGACATACAAATCTTGGACTTTTTCCTATTGATGGTAAGGCCCGCTTCGTTAATTCTTTCCAGAATAATCGTGAGCCATTTTACGTGAGTAGTATAGCAATGTATGTTCCAGCACACCTGTGGGGGGTCCCCGGTGTGCTGAAACATACGTATGTTCCAGCACACCTGCGGAGGGTCCGTAACCCTTTGACCCCACCGGGCTTAACCTTTGGCCCCCCTGGCTTAACCCTTTCATGTTAATAATAATTATTATTGTTAACAATTCACAGTGCGCTTGAACGGTCGTTAAACACGAGGTGAAAACCACATTGAATTTTCTTCTTGTAATTGATTCTAGAGCATGTATAGACCCTATTTCCGAAAGAAATAAAAAAATCCGCTTAGCCGTTTTTTTTGATTATTTTATTCTTGAAAAAATTGATACTTTGAAATAACATTCAAAATTATTTAATAAAATATTTATTGACAGTAATCACAATAAATCACAGTAACATTGTGAAGGTATAACCATGTATACAAATATAACAAATTATCAAAATATGTGTACATAATATATAGTTACTTAACATATAAACACTGCAGCATAAACTATATATGTTGACTATTAAATTCTTGAACTGCTCTGAGTAAATTTTTAGCATAATTTTCATGAGTTTTATTCAATTTATACTTTTCCCAAGTCTTTGCAAAATCAGAATGAATTGACTCAATGGATTGTTCACTAAAAAAACCAAGACTTTTCTCACTTTTATCACAAAAATATTTTAAATGAAAGAATACAGCATGCACTTTAGGTGTGATGCTTATATTTAAATCTATATAACTTTCCTTAAACTTTTCAATATAAGTACTGTAATTTGGGTCGAGATTCATACCGAAACAAGAATTCACAACATTGCAAAAATCATCAAAACATCTCACATACTTCAAACAATCAATGCTGGCTAAAGAGCGCAAGATATCTGTTTTGTTAAATAGAGTTTTGCAAGCATTGCCGGCAAAACTTGCGTTCCCATTAAAAAAGTCTTTAGAAACGTTGCACTGTTTTGCCCAATCTAAGCTTATTTTTTCAAATGATAATGACATATTTTGAAACAAATGATTTACAACGCCTAACATGAGATGGAGTTCGGGTGGTGGAATAATGTCAATGAGTTCTTGTCTTCTATCATCAGAAATGATTGGCAAATGAACACAATTCTTGAATTTTTTCGCATCGTTTAACTTACTACCACGTTCTACCCATTTTCTATAATTGTCTATGCACTCACCAATTGTTCTGTACTGTTCGATTGAACTCAAATCTTTTTTTTCTGCTGTACACCAAGTACACGGAAATATACTGGCATGATTCATTATTCCCACAAGAATGTTCGCTAGTTTCAAGTCAGTAGCAATAGTAGAGTTGGAGAAACTTTTTATTTTTAACGTTCACCACAATAACTCAACGTTCTCATAATTTTCTTGAGACGCATCTGCTAAGCCAATCAAAAACAATTTTTTTACACCTGAATCTTTCATATTTTCCGATAAATTAACATCTGTGAAGAATTGTCTTTTTTTATTTTTTATTTTTGTATCACTATCACTTAATGATTGCAACGACAGACACACTTTAAGAAATCCTCCTCCACCATCTATCCCAAATTTTAAATGAAATTGTTTGTCTAATTTTCTGTACAATTGAATCTGCTCAATTAATTTACCTACATCGTTACAAATAATCACGTTTTGTGAATTTATTTCTCTCTCACCCTTTTTTGCTGTCAACAAGTTCACTTTTTTAATTTCAAAGAAATCATCAAGTCTATGGTTATAAGTTTTTAATTTCTTCAATAAATTAGGTTCAATGATCTTCCTATTTCTAGTTGAATAACGAATTTCTGAAGCTATTTTTTGCTATTTTCTGCGTAGATAAACCGTTATTGGATGCAATGGTAGACATATCTTTCGCCGATATTTGCTCATATTTACGTTTCTTGCTAGCAAGAAATAGCATGCTATTTACAATAGCAACTCTCACAGGCTTACCATGCTTTTGAGTCAATTTCACATCACCCGAAGAAGGAGAGGTAATGTTTCGTGATACGACATTTTTCAATAAACTACTTGTTAACTGTTCTTTTTGGCGTGTTGTTAAATTTTCACTAATAAACTTGTCAACATTGTCGTAACTACTTGCTGCAGTACACTTGTGAGGGTGACCTTGCGATAAATTACTTAAACACTTAGCGCATTTTTTCACAATGTTTTTGGATTTGACTAATTTCTTTTTTCTCGTAAAATTGTACTGACTGACATCACTTACTTTTTCACACAAAGTACAGCCACAATTTTTGTCGGAACTAGATCTAGTAATAGGCTTCGGATATGTCCACTTTGAAAAGTCAGGTAATTGAAATTCTTTAACTGAATAATTACTTTTATATAGTCGATAAATATTAATTCGACAAGTTTCACAAACAACATTTGGTAGTCGAGTGTCTTGATTATTATAACCGGTAACTTTACGAACTTTTTGTTCAAGTTCACCATTTATTATTATTAACTTAGGTTTTTTCTTTAAGCAGAGTAAACATAAACTTTTACGACAATCTGCATGAGTTCGTTTGTGAGTTTTGAACGGTTTAGACATTTTTCAATATTTGAGTAGTCCATCGATAATATATAAGGCGCGTTTTCGCACGTTTGCTACCTTCGATTGATAATCACGGACTGATCAAAAATCCAACTACATTTGTAAACACTCTGCTCGGTCGTGTTTATAGACTCATGCCAGTACATGTGATGTTATGATAGTACTATTGTAGTATAAGGTATTTATTACAGAATATATATATACATATATATAAATGAACATATACTCTCTAATAAGTATATTACATATTTTATATATATACATTTTATAGATGTATAAGAACTTACTATGAATTATTAACATAAATAAACTATTTTTTAAATAATTTTGAATGTTATTTCAAAGTATCAATTTT